CGTTGGAGTGCTAGCATACTAGCGTTGACTCGGGTAGCATTCCGCCGTCGAATAGCGCAGAAACGAAATTCCAGCGAGGAAGGAATTCGCTTGAATCAATTTGACTATATTCAGGTACAAACAGAGAAGGATTAAATAGTTCTAGCTAGCAAGGACCTTGGGAATCAACCTGGGAACAACCAGGGATGATCCCAAATAATTCCAAGCAACAGAACCAACCTGGCTGGACAAAATAGCAGGTGGTAGGTTGGTAAACAACCTCTGGTTCTGTTTTTCCAACCTGGGAAAACAACAACCAGGTTCAGGTTCTAAAAACAGAACCTGTTTTGTTCTTGTCCAACCAGCCAAATGCTGGTTCCGCTGGTTTCCCCTGGCCTTGTAGCATGCAGATACAGACAAACAACATCCAACCTTCACCTAAATTGTACCCCTATAGTGCCTTCCCTGCTACACTATAGTTAACCAAACAAAACAGTACAATTTCGAGTTGGATAGAACTGAATCTGCGCAATCAACTCAACCGAACTGCAAAGCTTCCATCTTGGGTTCCTTTGCGAGCTCGTCCTTTCTGCTTGCACTGTTCATAGCGCATACAATGTTGTGCCGAAGCGCACATTGCGCGAGTACCTGCAAATGCATCAAGCGAAAAATGCGAAAGCAAACAAACACACGAACACACCATTCACACGCAAATGCATTCGCACACGCATACTCGTACAAACAGACGGCAGGATGTCGTGCAATGTGCATTTGCACCCAACACATCGTCTACAAGCCCGGGCTACACAACAAAGCTGACGTGTTGAGCCGCCCCGGTCATGTAGCAGGCATCCAACTCGACGGGATGAACCCTCTGCTCAAGGGTCTATTCCAGCATGGATACTCCGTGGACGCAGAGATCGCTACAGCACAGAAACAGAAGTTGTTACAGTGGGAGAAGGACCTAGCTGTAAGAAAGGGATCAGGAAAGATTTGGGTACCGAACTATGCCCCGCTCCGACAGATCTTACTGGAGGAATTTCACGATGTGGCATACGCGGGACATTTCGGGAGCAACAAGACGTTAGCGGGAATAGCAAAGTATTACTACTGGCCCCGGATGGCAACAGAAATGCAGCAGTTCGTCACTTCATGCGACACGTGCCAGCGGATGAAGAATAGCAAGCAGAAAAAAGTAGGGTTACTTCAGCCTCTACCCGTACCAGAGCAGCCATGGCGAGTTGTCAGCCTCGCCTTCATTACTGGGCTTTCTTCGACCTCACGAGGGCATGACGCTATACTCGTGGTGATCGATAAGTTCTCTAAAATGGGACACTTTATTCCGACCAACGCCACGGCTACTGCTGAAGCAACTGCTCGCCTCTTCTTCGACCGCATCATCACCATCCACGGCATCCCCGCTACACTTATCTCGGACAGAGACCCTAAGTTCACTAGTAAGTTCTGGAGGGAACTCATGGGATTGTTGGGGACAAAGCTTGCGATGTCTTCAGCGTACCACCCCCAGACTGACGGACAGACGGAGCGACTCAATCAGGTGGTTGAACAGTTACTGCGCACAGCTTGCAAAGACGACGTCAGCCACTGGGATTCACTGTTACCGATTCTTGAGTTCGCTTACAACAACGCGTCGCATGCGGCCACAGGGAAATCTCCATTCTTCCTGTGCTACGGACGGGAACCACTTACACCACAGCAACCAACCACACCGGCACACGTCCAAGCCGCACACGACTTCGTCACCACCATGCAGCAGCTATGGGAGAAGACTCAGCGACGTCTCACCACGATGCAGAACTCCCAGAAGCAGTATGCCGATCGCCAGCGACGTGATCACTCAGTAGCAGTCGGAGATCAGGTGCTTCTTGACACGCACAACTTGAACCTGTCTCACCTACCGTCCAAGCTCCGGCCTCGCTTCTGTGGTCCCTTTCGTTTTGAGGCACAGGTGACACCAGTAACATTCCGCTTGCGCTTACCTATTACTTGGAAGCTTCATAACGCTTTCCATGTTCAGCTACAAAAGCCCTACAAGGACCCCAACCAACAGTTCCAGGGACGCCAGCTACCGCCACCATCACCTGTTCTCATCAAGATGAACCAGAGTACGAGGTGGAAAAAGTTCTCGCTCATTAACGCAAACGCGGCAACACGCTCGAGTTCCTGATACGCTGGAAGGGATACGACCCGTCGGAGGACAGTTGGGTTGCAGAAGCTGATATGGGCAACGCATGCCGTGCTCTCAAGGACTATCTTGTCAAGCAGGGTGTTTCTCACGCCACCCAGCTTTGAGGGGGGGACGTGTGAGAGTACGACGGCTTATGCTGGCTTTGCTAGCTTGCCTGAACTTCATTATGTTATTACTCTACCTCAAGAAGCCCGAAACCGAACACATGGCGGAACTCGACCGCACACTGCACTACGTTGTCAGCACACTGACGATCTGCCTAACCTACCACACGACCAGAACTACGAACCCGAAGCTAATCGGCTGCGTAGACGCCAATCACGATGGCGACTCCGACAACAGACGGTCGCGAACGGGCTACATCTACCGACTCAAGCCCATCGGCCCCATCTCGTGGCAGTCGAGCATGCAGGAGCTAATTGCTCTCTCCTCTGCTGAAGTACAATACATAGCACTTTGCTCAGTCACCAAGGAATGGTTATATCTTCGCGAACTAATGGAAGAAGCGAAGTTGGCCCAGTTACCCAGCTTCTCCGTCTTCTGCGACAACCAATCGGCCATTTGCGTAACGAACAAGGACGGGATCGTGAACCGAACGAAGCACATCGCCCTGCGATATTTCTTTGTGAAGGATGAGATCGAGAAAGGAATATTTGGGCTACCTTATCGCCCCATGCCCGAGATGGCAGCTGACTACTTGACCAAGAAGCTTGGAAAACAAAAGTTCGAGTACTGCATGCTGCTGGCTGGACAAGGCCACATCACCAACATCGAGGGTGACGACTCTCCAGAAGCGAAGGGGAATGTTGAAATACATAAGTGCGCTTCTGGAATATCGAGCACTACAACAGAAGCAAAACGAGCCCTAAGCAAGGCAACACCAAGTCAACCAAGCTACAGTGAAGCGGTTGACAAAAAGGGGACAACAACGAGAAGTTAAAGCGAAGGTCAAAGATCAGCGACCCTTGACTCGCCGAAACAGCGCGACAGCAAGGACAAATAACTGAACTCGACATTGAGCAGTTACCCGAGTCATCGCTCTATCGAATCGCACTAGAGGTTACAATTGCGGTTAAATACAAAGCGGTTTCTTATGATATTTCTGTAATCTTACATTAACCTTGTATCTTTTCATTATAATCAACTTATCTTGTTCTCACATACATACAAGGTGGTTCATCTCAACTTCACTTAAAACGCATGCACTATTACATCTTCTAAGCCTTAGTTAGTGAAAAGATCCTAAGGGCCACTCTCAGCCCAACACTATTGTTGTGGGGCCCCTTGGAACCGCACCGTGGTCCGTGCCCTGTCATCATGTTGGTGGCACAACATAGTGGCAAAGAAATGTGTTGTAGAAGCTGAAGTGCCACCCAACCCAAACATGAGTGGTCTTAGAAGCTTATCCTCCAGATGCACAGTCAGCAGAGGGATCTACAACAGTGCGTGTACAACAGGCAATTTGCAATGGAGCATGGCGAGCACCTTGTGATGCACATGGTGTGCTCACATGGTGTGACCTGGTGGAAAGTGCTAGTGCTTGTTAAATGAGGAATAGGGAAAGGCAATACAACAATACTGTGTAGATTGAGCTTAGGCTTAAGAGCAGAGCGAGTATTGAACAAGGTTGACTCTAAGTCTCACAGTTAGGAAAGATGAATGGTGTGACTAGTAAAGGTTGGGATACAAATATATAATCTTAAAACAGTTTTACCCCCTATTGCATGCCTCACTATAGCCTACCAAACATATGCAACATTTGACACACCCCTATAGGCTAAGTGAGGGGCAACAAAACGAGCAAGAGAAACAAATGGTCACAAGACCACTCAAGTGAAACAACGACACAAAGCTCAGGGGGGATCACAAAGTCATCACACATCCTAAGCACAAACAAGAGGTCGCCTGGACACCTCAAGAGTTCACAGCAATATACATACAACGACAAGCGAAGCATGAAACAAGAGGCAAGACTACAACAACCGAAGGCCTGCCTCAGCAAGGCCTACCCGTGGTAGTCACCAGGCGGAAGGGCCTTGTTGAAGTGTCAAGAACTGAATGATGGTTTGACTAAGGTTGGTTGGGGTACATAAACCTAACCCTAACTACTGTACCCCATATGACATGCCTCACTATAGGTTACAACATTTTGACACACCCCCATAGCCTATGTGAGAGGCGTCTAGCAAAACCAACATAGTACGGTCACAAGACCAGTCTCAAAGAAGCAAAGCTCAGGGTGGATCACAACGTCACCACACAGTCTGAGCACAAGCAAAAGGGCCACAAGGCCAGTCCAAGAGTTCACAGAGGTATATGTAAAGCGTACAAGAAAGCAGAGAACTCAAGACTATGTAAGGTGAGAACTTGTGTCAACGAAACCTAACTGCACACGACACATCTGGTGGTCACAAGACAGAAGGGCCTTGGTGAAGATGTCTGCAGTGTTGGCCTCGGACTCCACAAAGTCGAAGCCAGTCTGTCCATGCCTCTGCAACTCTCGCAGAAGAAAGTAAGATGAGTCATAGTGACCAGTAAGTGCTACAGACTGTCTCCCTCCAAGAACCAGCCCCATGCCTGATGTCGTGGCTATGTACTTCGCCACCCTCACAGCAGCTGTCCAGTGAACAAGACGGTGTCTCCCTGGCGCAACAAAGCGAGCAGGGATGTTGAAGGGGAAGGCGAGGTCCGGGCAAGTACAAGTCATCAGGTACATAAGGCAGCCCACAAGCTCTGCGTAAGGACCTGGAGGCTCAAATGGCTTGTCAGGAATTGGTCCAGTGAGTCTGTGGTCAACAGCAAGAGGTGTGCGCTATACTGTGGAGTGCTGAAGCTCGAACCGCTGAAGGACCTGCTGCACCATGTGTGACTGTGAGAGTGTAATGGTGCGAGCAACTCTGTCCCTGGTAATCATCATGCCAAGGTAGTGGCGCAGCTCACCAAGGTCAGTGCACGTGTGTCTCTTCTGCAGTTCAGACTTCACGTCTGCCAAAGCAACCCTGTCAGCAGTGGCAAAAACCAGCTCGTCAATGTAGACCAGCACAAAGAACGGTGTGGAGCCACGACGAACGAACAGCGACGGGTCAGCAGAAGACGGCTGGAAACCGAGGTCAGACAGGGTAGAACGAAGGGTGTCGTGCCACTCACAAGGAGCCTGACGGAGACCGTAGACTGGTCGCCTCAACCTTCACTGGGTCACGGAAGGGAAAGTGCCAGTGAAGGCAGAGGGACGACGTAACCAGACCTCCTCGTGTAGGCTACCCTGAAGGAAGGCAGTGGAGAAGTCGAGAGGGTGTAACTCGTAGTATCTCTATGCTGCTACTTACAGTAACACCCGAAGAGTAGTCATCTTCGGGGTAGGCGCGAAGGTCTGAAAGAAGTCAACTCCCTCGTGCTGACTGAAACCTCTAGCCACATAGCGCACCTTGAAGACCGGAGGAGAATTCGGTGGCCGCTTCACCCTGAAGATCCACATGCCATCCACTTCGTTCGCCCTAGGGGGAAGAACCTCGTCAACGTAGGTGCCTATGGATCTGTAGGAGGCCAATGCTGGGTCAATGGCAGCTCTCCACTGAGGGGCCCAAGGCCCTGACGCTGCCTTAGCGTAAGTGCAAGGAGTCGGTATGTCAAGGGCGTCGAAGTCTTCCTCAAGGGCGAGCAGCATGGCACAGAGATGAGGGGAAGCGGCTGCCAGGAACTCTAGCTCAAACTGCTTGTCCTCTAGGGCGTCACAGCCAAGGGCAGACTCACCCCCGACGGCCAGAGGACTGGTAGGAGGAGCAGCCACAAGACTGGTGGCGTAGTCAAGGCGGCGAGTAGAGGCAAACTCAGTGACTGCGGCAGTACAGAGGATAGAGAAGCACGAGGGTCGGTAACAAGAGAGGCGAGAACACGAGAGAGAACAGGGCGGTACGTGTGGTAGTAGTCTGTGACATGACTAGAGAGGGAAGCAGTGAGGGCCGACTCAGGAGGAGAAGGAAGTACAGCAGGAGACGAACGAGGCGGACAAGAACGGAACAGGGCATTACGAAGGTCAGTGACGGGAACAGGGGACGAGGGACGAGCATGAGAAGAGCGACGAGAAGCCCAAGTGTGAGAAAGAGGAGGGGACAACGGTGTTTGAGAACGGGGAAAAACAGCTGGGGAGGGGTTAGGATGAGGAAGCGGAGGACCAGAGACGGGAGGAGAAGGGGAGGAGGGAGGAGAGGGGGAGGAGGGAGGAGAGGGAGAGGGGAGACTAAGGGTCCGAAGGCCTGAGACAGGAGGAGGAGGTGGCGGCTGCTGCTGCTCCTGCGGCAGCTGCGGCTGCTCGACCTCCAGCTGCTGCTGCTGGTGCTCCTGCTGCGGCTACTGCTGCTGCTTCCGCAGCTGCGGCTGCGGCTGCTGCTGCTGCTGCTGCTGCTCCAGCTGCCATCGCTCCTGCAGCTGCCGCTCCAACTCTAGGCCCCCTCTCTCCAACTCGAGCAGCTCCTCACGTGCACGGCGAAGACGGGCCTGGTGCCGGGTCGGGTAGGGGTGCGGGCGCGGAGTAGTGTCCGGGGCAGGGGCAGCCCCAGGACTACCCTCCAAGGCACCAGCCGCACCACCCCCAAAGCCAGCACCACCAGAAGTAACAAGGTCGATCCCAGGATCTCAAGGTCCCGCAGAGGGCGCACCCCCAGTCGTAGCACCCCAAGGAACAGCACAACTAACACCAGCTCCCTGAAGACCAGCGGCTCCTGTAGGCACGGGCCCAGGTCCAACTCCAGCACCCCCAGAACTAGGACCTCTGACAGGTACGCTCTCTGCTCCACTTCAAACTCCTCTAGAGCTAGCACCTCTAGGGCCCTCACCACAAACACCGGCTCCCGCAGGGTCTGCAGTAGGCTGTGAGGAGGACTGCGGGGAAGGAGGCTGCACCCAAGGTGTTGGTGTAAGGGCCTAATAAACTCAAGCTATTAGGACTCAATCAAACTTAAAACCTCTCCTCGGGGTCACCTCCAAGGGTCCCTGGGTGCCTGGTACAAGACCAGCCCCTATCCTCGGGTCCGAGTTTGTAGAGAGAGGGATCAAGAAGGACTTAGTCAAAACAGCAAGAGTACCTTGAACGTCGCGCAGCGTGCCGTGCAGACCGTCGATCGGATTAAGCTGAGAATTCGCTATATCGAAGCTCGCTCCAAGAGCTTTAAAATAAGCCAAGTTGCCTCGCGAAAAGTTCTGCCATTACTAAGTTCTGGCTCGGACAGCGTTTGCCTAGCGTTGGAGTGCTAGCATACTAGCGTTGACTCGGGTAGCATTCCGCCATCGAATAGCGCAGAAACGAAATTCCAGCGAGGAAGGAATTCGCTTGAATCAATTTGACTATATTCAGGTACAAACAGAGAAGGATTAAATAGTTCTAGCTAGCAAGGACCTTGGGAATCAACCTGGGAACAACCAGGGATGATCCCAAATAATTCCAAGCAACAGAACCAACCTGGCTGGACAAAATAGCAGGTGGTAGGTTGGTAAACAACCTCTGGTTCTGTTTTTCCAACCTGGGAAAACAACAACCAGGTTCAGGTTCTAAAAACAGAACCTGTTTTGTTCTTGTCCAACCAGCCAAATGCTGGTTCCGCTGGTTTCCCCTGGCCTTGTAGCATGCAGATACAGACAAACAACATCCAACCTTCACCTAAATTGTAACCCTATAGTGCCTTCCCTGCTACACTATAGTTAACCAAACAAAACAGTACAATTTCGAGTTGGATAGAACTGAATCTGCGCAATCAACTCAACCGAACTGCAAAGCTTCCATCTTGGGTTCCTTTGCGAGCTCGTCCTTTCTGCTTGCACTGTTCATAGTGTTGGGTGCAAATGCACATTGCACGACATCCTGCCGTCTGTTTGTACGAGTATGCGTGTGCGAATGCATTTGCGTGTGAATGGTGTGTTCGTGTGTTTGTTTGCTTTCGCATTTTTCGCTTGATGCATTTGCAGGTACTCGCGCAATGTGCGCTTTGGCACAACATTGTATGCGCTATGAACAGTGCAAGCAGGAAGGACGAGCTCGCAAAGGAACCCAAGATGGAAGCTTTGCAGTTCGGTTGAGTTGATTGCGCAGATTCAGTTCTATCCAACTCGGAATTGTACTGTTTTGTTTGGTTAACTATAGTGTAGCAGGGAAGGCACTATAGGGGTACAATTTAGGTGAAGGTTGGATGTTGTTTGTCTGTATCTGCATGCTACAAGGCCAGGGGAAACCAGCGGAACCAGCATTTGGCTGGTTGGGCAAAGACAAAACAGGTTCTGTTTTTAGAACCTGAACCTGGTTGTTGTTTTCCCAGGTTGGAAAAACAGAACCAGAGGTTGTTTACCAACCTACCACCTGCTATTTTTTGTCCAGCCAGGTTGGTTCTGTTGCTTGGAATTATTTGGGATCATCCTTGGTTGTTCCCAGGTTGATTCCCAAGGTCCTTGCTAGCTAGAACTATTTAATCCTTCTCTGTTTGTACCTGAATATAGTAAAAATTGATTCAAGCGAATTCCTTCCTCGCTGGAATTTCGTTTCTGCGCTATTCGACGGCGGAATGCTACCCGAGTCAACGCTAGTATGCTAGCACTCCAACGCTAGGCAAACGCTGTCCGAGCCATAACTTAGTAATGGCAGAACTTTTCGCGAGGCAACTTGGCTCATTTTAAAGCTCTTGGAGCGAGCTTCGATATAGCGAATTCTCAGCTTAATCCGACCGACGGTCTGCACGGCACGCTGCGCGACGTTCAAGGTACTCTTGCTGTTTTGACTAAGTCCCTCTTGATCCCTCTCTCTACAAACTCGGACCCGAGGATAGGGGCTGGTCTTGTACCAGGCACCCAGGGACCCTTGGAGGTGACCCCGAGGAGAGGTTTTAAGTTTGATTAAGTCCTAATAGCTTGAGTTTATTAGGCCCTTACACCAACCGAACTGCAAAGCTTCCATCTTGGGTTCCTTTGCGAGCTCGTCCTTTCTGCTTGCACTGTTCATAGCGCGTACAATGTTGTGCCGAAGCGCACATTGCGCGAGTACCTGCAAATGCTTCAAGCGAAAATTGCGAAAGAAAACAAACACACGAACACACCATTCACACGCAAATGCATTCGCACACGCATACTCGTACAAACAGACGGCAGGATGTCGTGCAATGTGCATTTGCACCCAACACACTCCCCCTCAGCCTGCCGGCTGCATCCCCGTCATTCCATGCTAGTTCATGCTCATTCCACTCATGCGCATACAACGCCAATGAGGCTCATCCGCAAGCCTTTTGGTGAGAAAGTCTGCTGGCTGCTGGTGAGTCTTGATGTAGATCGGATTCACCGTCCCCCTCTTCACCTCCTTACGCAGCCAGTGCCACTTGATACGCATGTGCTTGTTCAGCCCATGAAGCACAGCGTTCTTGGCCATCCCAAGAGCCCCCTTGCTATCACAAAACAGCGGCGTAGCAACTTTCTGCTCCTGGCCAATCTCCTCTAACAGCCTCCTCAGCCAAATCACCTCCTTCACCCCATGGAACATCGCCATGTACTCTGATTCTACGGAAGAGAGTGCCGTCTCCGTCTGCTTCTTGGACCTCCAACTAACAGGTCCTCCCCCAACTACGCAGATGTATCCTCCCACAGATGAGGAATCCTCCTTCTCAGAAGCCCAAGTAGCATCGGTAAAGCAAGTGAGAAATAGCTTGCCTTCTCCAAGCCTCTCCCCCTTCTCTTTCAGCACCTCCACCCCTTTCTGCTTCACCTGTGCAGATGCGGAGTATTGAACTCCAATGCTTGGGTGAGAGTTCAGGTACTTCACCACACGCTCAGCTGCATCCACCTGCTCTTCTGATGGATTCTGCACCACCCTAGCCAGCTGCCCAACCGAGAAAGAGATGTCGGGCCTCGTGTGAACTGCTGCGTACAAGAGGCTGCCCACCAAGGACTGAAATTGCTGCTGCTCCTCGGCTTCAACCCCTTCATCCTCTGCAGCCTTCACAAGCTTGAATTCTGCTGGCAGGGGAGTTGCAACCTTGCGCTCATTCTCAATCCCATACTTCTCCCCCAGCTCTTTGATGAACTTCTCCTGGTGCAGCTTCAACCACCTGTGATCAGGATCCCTCTCCACGTGCATCCCGAGGTAGTACTTTACCTCCCCAAGGTTCTTGCACTTGAAGTTTTCCATCAGTTGCTGCTGCACTTTCTGGATCTCCTTCATGCTGCTGCTGAAGAGAAGAATGTCGTCCACATAGACCAGAAACAGCACCAGCTTCTCCCCCTCGCCCTTGAGAAAGAGGCTCTCATCACAGCTGCTGGTCCTGAATCCCATCTCCTCTAAAACAGCTGCCAACTTCTGGTACCAGCAGCGTGGCGCCTGCTTCAAGCCGTAGATGGACTTGTTGAGCTTGCACACCCTGCCCGTACCATCCTCATACCCAGGCGGCTGCGTCATGTACACATCCTCCTCTAAAATCCCATTCAGGAATGCCGTTGAAATATCCATCTGAATGATGAATTTTCCACTAACTGCTGCATCTGCCAACAAGACACGGAGGGTAGGGGGTTTGGCAGTGGGAGCAAAGATCTCGTTGAAGTCCTGCTTCTCCTTCTGCATAAACCCCTTAGCCACCAGCCTACTCTTGTAGATGGTGACCTGCCCCTTGTCATCGGTCTTGATCCTCAGCACCCACTTGCATTGTATCGCTTTCTTCCCATCAGGCAGCACCACCAGATCCCATGTCCTATTCTCCAGCAGACTCTGGTACTCAGCATCCCTAGAAGCCAGCCACTTGTCCCTATCTGGTCCAGCTAATGCCTCCTCCATGCTAGCTGGTTCCTCTGGTGCAGGGGCAAGAAAACAGTACGCAGGCTCATCCTCCTCATCCGGGTCATAGCCATGAGGTAGAATCAGCAATGCCTCTTCGGTCCCAAGCTGCTGCTCTGCTGCATCAGTTCCTGCAGTCAGCTTCTTAGTAGCCATACGGGTACGTCCTGGCCTGGAGACGGGTGTCTCCCATCCCTTCATAACGACACCCTTCGGCTTCTTAGTTTTTCCCTGCTGCTTCTCTCCTCCCTCGGGTCCAGCAGCTCCACTAGTGCTGCCGCCAGTTTCCACACCATTTTCTCCACCAGCAGATGCCTCCTGTACCTTCTCTCCATCACCATTTCCAGCAGCTGCCTCCTCTCCCTCCTCCCACACACTAGGAGTCAGGTCCAGCTGCATGGTGATCTGCTCCATCTGCTGGGACACCCTTGCCTCCGGCTGTTTCTCCCAGCTCCCATACATCATGCCCTCAATGAATTTCACATCCCTGCTGTCAAACAACACACCCTTGGATGGTTCCCACAGCAGCCATCCCTTGCTCTCAGCAGCCAGCCCCAAATGCACACACCAGATTGCACTCGCCCCCAACTTACTGCGGTAGGTCTTGGGGACGTGGG